AGCCTCTCCTCGTAGGAGAGATGCTCCAGTCCCCTCACCATCCTCATAGCCCTCCGCTGAACTCTCTCCAGTAGCTCCTCATCTTTCTTGAACTGGGGAGCCCAGCACTGGACACAGCACTGCAGATGGGGCCTCACCAGGGCAGTGTAGAGGGGGAGGAGAACCTCCCTCGACCTGCTGCCCACAGTCGTCTTCTTTTCAGGAACATCACTCCCATTCCAATAACACCATGACCAGGATGAACTTCCAACGCATCCTTCCCCACCCCTGCGTGTTACTTTTAAGTGTAAACTCGCACCATCTCAGGGACGGGGAGCATTTTCACTCCCAAGAGTGTCCACTCCTATTTCGGATGCACCTGCACCAAGGAGGTCAAAGTCTCTTGAACACTTTCTCATGGCAGAGTCCGTGTCTTAGGAAAAACAGACATTCCCAGGAATGATAACAGTTCACTTCCAAGAACACTGTGACTAAGGAGCAAGCACTTGGTGACTCATCCCGGTCTCCACCGACTGCAGTGATGAGACTCCCACGAAGAACGAAGGCACCCTGGAGCCGTTCGCTCGCGGGGCAGTGGCTCCCGTACCAGCATCTGCAGACAGGCAGAGGAACGCTGCCCTGAGAGCCTGATCAATTTAAATGTTAAATACATCCCACCACTGAATCCTCCAGCACAAAATCCACAAGAGGATCAGATGTCACAAATCTATTTCATTTCAGAAGCAAAAAATTGCTCTGCTTTAGCTGTTTCTAGGGCTCCAAAATTCACTCACCATGCCCAGCTCCATTCCTTAACTGTGTCTCCCGCAAGAGACAAATATGCTTCTTAAATACATAACTATGTGGGTTTAGCTGAAGCAACCGAAGCAGCAAGACGGAGAGGGTCCTTCTTTATAAGGTATGTCTGGCTCCCTCCAGCCTTTGGCTCGGTTTCCCATTTTAGTTGCAGCTTTCTAATCAACAGAGCTTTGAACTCTACTGCGCAGAACGCTTCAGATCTCCGAGGGGAAGTAACCACACGCAGCCACCACAGTCTTAGAAACTCCACACACCGCACACCTCCCCTGTAATTTTAACATTAAAGATCTAGCCTTTTGGGAGGTCTGTCAGTCTAGGTCCACCAAAGGAAAAGCGCTCGTTACTTGTTCCTCCAGTTCTTCATTCACACATTCGGAGTCACCTTCTGCACTAACACCACCAGTGGAGCATCTGCATCTGACAGGAGAAAACAAACAAGAGGACAAAATCCCCCAAACTCGGGAAGTTCCTCACTTGTAACCATCTGATTATGAGCAGTAGCTCATTTTCAGTAGCCAGAATCCTCATTTAACATGAACGGTTCCTTATTTCTCCATTTGTCAACCAGCCATGACCATTTCTGACGCATTTCTTCCAGCCCTGTGATGCCCTTACGTGACAGCCAGCTACTCCCACTTGCCTGAGGAGAGGAGATCTGGAGGCCACGGCTGGCTTTCCCAGCCATCTCTCTACAGCAGATGAATTACCCCATGGCTGGAATTGCTGCCGAAATAGAGGCGTCTGCATCACCTACACGCTGTCATGATGTGGTCCAGACAATAATTCAAATTGCAGAACCAATTTATGTTTTGGTTCATAGGTCAGACAAAAAAGCCAAGTCAACCCAAAATTTGCTCTGCCCCAGTTCCCTCCCTGTATCAAAAGCAGGGGGCAAAGCTTCATTTCAATTCAAACAAGACAGTTGTTTCACTCCGCAGGAAATATTTTGCTTCACTTTCGGGGGAAGGTCGGTATCTAGAGCTTATCTTCTGGTGGTTCTTCGCCAGATTTCAGACAGACTTGATTTAATAAAACAGCTAATTGAATTAGGTGCCTCGCATGTAGGATCGCAAGGTACAGGCCAGCAATCTCTGAACTGTAGTCTCTGGTTTGGATCTGCTGTATTACTGTGACAGCATGCGATATTACATCACAGGGTTAGCTCTGCTAATTTTATTTTCTCTAATATCCCTGCAAAAGCTTATCACAAGCATCCGGCTAAGCATTCAATGCTGACTTCATGTTTCTCATTTGATTCTTCTAGAGAAAAGCTGGAATTCCTCAGATGCCATTGGCTGAGCTCACCCCTGCCTGGGATCACTGTGTTAAGCCATACCTCGGTCTACACGGCCAACGACATCGTTACTGAAAAGGAAAACTTCAGAGATCAGACACAAATCCAGCTGGAGAATGAGCTGCACAGGCAGAGCGCTGAGAAACTGCCGTGCTGCAGCGGAGAAAGTGAGAGGAAGAACAGCGGGTAGAGTAAGAGCGCCTTGAAAGCATTTCAAGTTATCTAGAAAAAGAATCTGTTCTTTTCCAATGGCAGCTAAAGTCATTCTTGAGCTAAGGGCAAAAGAGATCCCTTCATTCTGAGAAATGCGACTTATGAAAACATAAGAGGAAACCTCACAATTTCGCTAACGCATGCTCTCCTTCTCAGTGAGTCAGAAGTTCACATTCTTCTGATGCAGCCTCCCAACTGAAAACAATCCCCACACTTCAAGCAGAAGAATAATAAAGCACACATATGCTTCTTATAAAACAATCCTTACAAATAACCACGGCTTTTGTTTTCATAATGGCTAAAATTCATCATTTCCCCCCCAAAAAACACAGATCAAACAAAATGTACTCTCGCTAACAGAAAAGGCTCGCTTGGCTGAGCAGAACAGAAAATAACCTTTTCCTCTGATTTTCTCAGTGCTTTTTGCCAGCGAAGAGCAAGGCGAGCGGCACCCGGACGCGCCGGGCAGGCACAGCGCACCCCAGCCCTGGCACCGCACGCAGGGACCGGCCTCTGCCCCCGCGCTGCTCTCCCACTCCCTGTGCCCGGACACCGCAACCAACATCCCAACGCGGAACGCGAGCAGGAGATGCCCCGCAGATCTGGTGCCAGCTAAAGAAATAAAAACGAAACCTCACCAAGAAGCCACCCAGCTTCGGGAGCATCCTCACACAGGGCCCACGTCGACCCACTGGCAGGGAGCAGAAACCTCCCTCGCCCTCGCACAGCGGCAAAGGAGAGCATCTCACCCCGTCGGCCTCGCCACGCATGTGGGTCACCGCCTCAAGCAAACAGAAGTCATTTTTGGATATTTTTGGGTACTTTCAGTACACCCTGGCTTGACAAGGGGTACTGCACATATTTTTACATAAGTGGCAACTCTAAAAATAATACTAAGAAGTTGCGTTCTAGGCAGGTAATGAAATCCAAATTAATAAAAAGTCTAAAAATACAACGATCGTTAACCTTCTGCAAGTAACTGGCAACACTTGCCATGGTTTCCTCACCCGTTAGACGGCTATACCCTCAGTCTCAGGGGTACTACACACCAGGGGGACCACACACTCCCGGCCACAGGAGGACTCGGCGCTGGGAGTCGATGGGGCGCACCGGGGGGAGGACAGCAGCGCACTCCCTCCTTCCCGCCCGATTTTTCACACCCTCTCCCTACACCTTCACCACCAGGCACAGCCAGAGCGGCAACTGAAGACGCTGAGCTCGGTGGATCCCTGTCCTGCCAAAACCATGGCTCGTGTTCTTACCTATCGAACTAAAAAATGCAATTTTGTCATAAAATATTTCTTTTCCTCCAAAAAGTAAGCCAAGCTATTTTTACTTATTTTACCCAACAGCTGCATGCATTTTTTCAATGGTAAAGAGAAATGGGTTTTGTGCCCATAAAACACCCCGGTGTTGAGGAGGGGAGGGTAAGGAGAGAGACACCGGGCTCCCAGCACGCTGACCACACTGGCTGCGCCGGGCCCCGCCCCCCCCCCCCCCCCCCCGC